CGAAAGGGACATTTGGACTGTCCCCTCCATTGGTGCCGATACTGCTACTGTCTAGGGCACTGGGAGAAGCTGCCCTGCTGGTGGAACCCTGACGAGGAATAATCATTATTTCTAAAGGACACCTCCCCCCCCCCCCCCCCGTACTCCTGTCTAAAGGGTTTTCTCCTGGGGTATGGGGCAGCTCGGGCGAACCCTTTCTTAGGGTTAGAGGGCAGGATCTTACGCTTGCCCTTTCCCTCGATCAATAGGGGTGTCAAGGAATCCCTGAAGAGTCCCCCCTTGGTACAGCTCTGATGCCATGTGCCACTTATGTCTCGTCAGATTGCCATTGTTGGAGCCACAGGAGTCTGCGTAAGGCCACTGACGAGGCCATGGCCCTGGAAGCAAACCGGGTTGCACTCAGCGTGGTGTCAGCTGAAAACTGGACTGCAGTGATAAGTTATTAAGGTCCTGGTGGGCCCTAGAATCCCTTTGGGGATATGTTCCTGCAGTTGCTGCAGCCAGAAAAGGCTTGAGCGCGAGAAAAAGGAGGCCACTGCCGAGGCCCGCACGGCCCCCACTGATGGCTGATGCCCCCACTGTAGGACCTGATCGGTGCACCTATCTTCAGGTTTGAGGATGTCTTCCTGGGTGCCTGGGAGAGTGGTGTTAGTATGCAGCTCCACTACAGGAGCGTCGACAGTCGGCCAGGTGAGGTTCTTATCCCGTTGTTCTGCAACATTGTAGAACCATCTCTCGTTGGCTAAGGGCGCCGGGCCTGATGTTGGTGTGGTCCACTGGCGTCTCACCATGTCAACGAAGAGCTGAGAAGTGGGTATGATGTCTGCTTCCACCTTGAGCTCCTTGAACAGCGCGCTTTCCGAAGGGCCCTGTTTCGGGGCTGCCGGGGCCTTGGCCTGGCCCTCGAGATCTGAGGAGGCCTTGGCCTTAGCCAGCAGCGGTTTGAACAAAGTTAGAGGGAAAAAGCCCACACAGGGAGGCTTGTCCAGTACAGCGCCTTCTTCCTCAGAGGTCGTCATCCCTGATCTCCCCTTCCTCTGAAGCGGGGGAGCATCTGCGCACAGGTTCGCCGGAGACAGGCGTTCCATTGGCTCTGGGGTTGACCCTGGTCATGGAGTGGAATGAGAGACCCCTGATGTCACCCCTTGGTTCTTCTCCTGGAGCCCTGCCGCAATGCCTTGTTTAATGGCCTCAGTTATTATGTCCTGGAATCCAGTAGCCATAGACTGTAGCGGCAACGCGGTGGGCAAGACAGGAAACTGATCCTCTTGGCGGAGCCCCGCCATAGTGGGGGTGAAAATGGCCTCTGCTGGCCTGCTGCCCCAAAGGCTGGATGTATCAACTGAGAGCACAGGACTAAGTGGGCCGTGGTAGTGGCTGGGCCTGGCCAGCACTACAGGAGTCTTTTCAGACCGTTGCCGGGAAGATCCCGGGTACTCTCGGCTCTTGTTCTTGGAGGCCTTGGAGGAAGAGGAGCCTTTGGTCGATGCCTTGTCTCCCGATTGTGTTTGGGAAGAAGGTTGCCCAATGGGGGACATGGGGCTCTGTCCTACCGCAAGCAATCTGCCGGCTTGACTGGAGGGCCTGCTGGTCTCTGGGCCCAGGTCAGACATGCTGCTGTTTGCCACGCTGCCGCTAACTGAAATACTGATTCAAAATGACAACCGCGACACGCGGTTTGCCCACTGCCCAAAATGGCACTCCTGTTCTTTTGCTGGATGTAATACGGGCCTGATGACAGGAGGAGGCTTCTTGCCACTGCGTGGTTCAACCTGGCCGTCTGGGCCGCCCACGCCTCATCCAGAGTACTCGCTGTCATGTCGCGACTTTCCAAGGCAGGAGACTCCCGTTCGGTTTGCCTACAGTGCGCTTGGCTCTCTGTAACAGTGCGACGCACACGTGCGCTCTGTCGTCCCAAGCCCAGCGAATGAAAAACTTTTTGGCTGCAAAAGACAAGCCTCACAGGCAAGCTGCTAAGCGGCTGTCAGACAGGGCTCTTTGATGCTGACTGCCTCCTTTCTCCTCTGAAGTGTGCAGACAGCCCTGAGACATTGTTGAGAACGCAGGCCTGTGGGCCAGAGCCCCACAGCCAGACAGAGATGAGCCCCCAGATCAATCTTGAAATCCTCACGATCCCTCAAATAGATTGTTTTCCCTTCTGACAACGATGATGCAACTCATCAAACCGGTAAGGTGAGGTAATTAAACTGCTAATGCATACAAGGGATAACACGACTGTCCCAGAGTGGACTGAGTTGGAAACTGGGTGGTAACACTTACAAGGGCGGGTTATATAGTACATTGGCTAATTAATATTCAAACTCAGTCCAATCAGCGCACGGACAGTGTCAACCCATGGATGGATGCTATGTTCATCCTTATTGAGAATGAGGTGGCTGGATGGAATCACCAAAGCAGTAGGCATGAGCTTAAATGGACTCCAGAAGATAGCAGAGAACAGAAACGCCTGGAAGAACATTATCCATGGGGTTGCGGTGGGTCGGACATGACTTCACAACTAACAACAACAAAATTTGGTAATGAAATGTCTGCAAGAAAGCATCAAAATTCAGAGAGCACTAAGGACCCCACAAAATGAAAGTGCTCTAACTGGGCTTCCACTTGTGCATCTTTCAAATCATGACTCCAAGAGTATTCCAAGTCACAGATCTGTTTCTTCAGGGTAAATGCCATTCTATCCAAAGTTAAGAGAGAGGTAGAAGTCCAACTGTATTACCCGCCTAGCCAAGGATGAAGAGGTAAAATAGGGAAATCAGAAAACCAGCCCAAAACAAAAGGTGCTTTTCAGGAGGCAACTGGACTTTCTTGTTTTTTCTTTGAAGATGTTTCACTTCTTATCCAAGAAGCTTCTTCAGCTCTGACAGGAAGAAACTTCTTGGATGAGAAGCAAAATGTCTTCAAAGAAAAAACGTCTAGTTGCCTCCTGAAAAAACACCTTTGGGACAACCATGACCTGGATGACTGTGAATCTCTACAGACTTTCAACCCAAAACAAGTATACATCTTCTCCCAACAGCCTTATATAAACAGAGGAAAGTAGGGTGAATCCTATGACATCCAACAAGACACAGCCAACCAGTCTGACCTCTTATTTCTCACTACATCTACCAGAATCAACCAGTTAGGAAAGAGCAAAAAGATTGCAATAGTGCTGTTGATTCCAGTTCTTACAGTATAGCATCATTGTCCATAGCACTACTGCTGCAAAGACCAAATGGATAAGAGAAGCACTTCTTTCCTCCAAGTCCTGACAGTTAACCACCAGGAAAACCCTCCAGCTACAGCATTGCTGTTTTAAACCCATGCTGGGTTGACTGTTTTCACTGCTTATTTTAAAAAGAGGAAAGCTTTGCATTCAGTCTCCGGTAGAGGAAAAAAAGACCAAAGTTGGATAACCAAATTCCAAATAGTTTGGTTCCCACAAAATTTCATGGAAGAGATCCGACACTAGGCAGGAAAAGGAAAGAGAGAGCGGGAGAAGTTAAGATTGAATCCCAGGGGTCCCCAAACTTGGCAATTTTAAGACTTGTGGACTTCAACTCCCCACAATTCTAGGAGTTGAAGTTCACAAGTCTTAAAGTTGCCAAGTTTGGGGACTCCTACAGTGTTTCCACTTCTTTCCATTTATTTGCCTGGGAAAAGCAACCAAGCACTTTTTATTCTCCCAACACTTTAATTTGCTGGGTCTCTGGTGCTCCCTGAACTCGATTGTTTTCTTGCAGACGTTTCATTACCCAAACTAGGGTTTGGGTAATGAAATCCCACTCCCTATTAACACTGACGTAACCTAATTTGGGTAATGAAACGTCTTCAAGAAAACAGCACCAAAATTCAACTCTTTATCGGCACTTACTTTTGTACTTAGGATGCGAAACTTCTGAAGGACTGGCCAAGGAGGGCGTTGGAAAGGGCCCAGGCAAGGTAGATTTTCCCCGTTGGCACTCAGTCCGGCCGCTTCGATCTAAAGGCGGCTTTGACCCGCCTTTCCCTGGCGCGACGGGCTGCGCTTTCGCCTCCACGCTGAGCGGCAGTTTAAGCGCTCCCGCGGGCAGCCAAAACTAGCTTTTGTTTCAGGTCCGCAGACTCCTTACTCCTTTATTCCAGCCCCTTTAAAAAAAATGCTCGCCCCAGATGAGGCGCCTCCAGGGGCGCCTCAAAAGAGTAAAACAACGTCGCTTTCGTGATTGCTTCAATCCCACCAACCGAAAGTGTCGAGGTGGATCCACAAATAGCTTTCCCGCGCCGCAAGATCCGATGCGTCACTTCCGGGAAAAACAGATGCGGCGGCCGTTGCTCTAGTAGCCGCCAGGAGATCGAAAGTGAGTCTGCGGGAGAGAGAGCGAGCGAACGAGCGAGCGTGCGTGGAGGAGGTGACGGCTCATGTTTGTGCGCATGGAACCGGAAGCCCGCTGGGAAGCTGGTTTGCTCCAACGGCTGCCAGAAGCTGATGACGCCTCGCTCCCTCGCTTCGAAGGCTCGCACCCGACTGGAAACTGAGTCGTCGCGGCGGCGGTTGGGATCTCAGCTCGTACAGGTAATGTGGGTCAACATCCAGGCGAGAAGTGGCTCTGGGGGCTTTTTGTAACCGCCGACCTCGGCTAGATAGAATTTGAGACCAACCCTCAACTACAGGTGGCACCGTCTGTTCCTTTTTCTTCACTCCTGTAGGGAATTAAAGAGCATTTGGAAACAGGTGCAAGATGCTGTTGGTGCCTCAGCGCTAGAATGAATGTGTCAGTACTCTGGCAGAGTATTTTCTTAATCGTGAGATGATGTTGGCTTTTAAAGTAGTTTCCACATTACAGTTTTCACCTACGATATATGTCATTCAACTATGTGGACTTTGGCAATTGCAGCTTGGAATGTAAGAGGCATAAAGGATGGGAAGTAAAATGGAGGAAGTAAAAGAAAAACAGATGCATGTTTGGAAACGATGATTAAAAAGAAAAATCAAGTGTATCATGAATCAGTGTATAAATATGTTTAAAGCAAGGCTGGCTTGCAAGGATAGAAAGCAATGGCAATAGAGATAACGAAGTTGGTATAAGCAATGTTCATGGCTCCACACCATTGAATATATAGGTGTGTGGCGTGCGCACAGCCCATAAATTACAGCCTCGGACACTTTCTCCCAGGGAAAAATGCAGCTGCCAGGTACTTTTAACCTGTGACTAAAGGTGACCACAGTATGTGTGTCTGTGTGTGTGAGTGAGAGTGAGAGAGACAGACAGACANACAGAGTGAGAGACAGACACAACACACAGAGTGACAGGGAGGGAGGGAGAAACAGACACACACACAGTGAGTGTTTAAGTGAGTGAGTGAGAGACAGAGAGAGAGAGACAGAGAGAGAGACACACACACACAAACATAGTGAGTGTTTGAGTGAGTGAGTGACAGACAGACAGACACAGAGAGAGAGACACACATAGAGTGAGTGATTAAGTGAGTGAGATACAGACAGAGACAGAGAGAGAGAGTGAGACACACACACAGAGTGGCAGAGATGGGCAGGGAAGGAGGGAGAAACAGACAGAGGGGGACACACATACACACACAGAGTGAGTGATTAAGTGAGTGAGTGAGAGACAGAGAGAGACACAGAGAGAGCGAGTGAGAGAGAGAGAGAGACACACACACACACACAGACAGTGGCAGAGATGGGGAGGAAGGGAGAAAGAAACAGAGACACAGAAAAAAACACAGAGAGTGAGTGATTGAGTGAGAGACAGACACACAGAGAGTGACAGAGATAGGGGAGGGAGGAGAGAGAGATACAGAGATAGAATGACAGAGAGACAGAGAGAAAAAGAAGGATATATTCTCTTAATATATAGATATAAGAAATATTTCACAATATATAATTACATATTGTTTTTGTGATTAATCACTATGCTTTAATTATTATCAGATATTTACATTACGATTCATTACAGTAGCAAAATTACAGTTATAGAGTAGCAACGAAAATAATTTTATTGTTGGGGGTCAACACAACATGAGGAACTGTATTAAAGGGTCGCAGCATTAGGAAGGTTGAGAACCACTGCTATATAGTATATTCAAGATGATATCATGAAACTGACTGCTTTTCTTTTTCTTCTTGAGCTTAACTTGAAGGTTGTTCACAAGCAGTTTCTGATTGGTTCCACAGTCAGCACCTGGCCATGTTTTTGATACAAAAACATGGCCAGGTGCTGACTGGCAAGAAGCTCTATAATTGAACTTCTGTACCTCCTTTAGCAAAAATATAGTCAGTTTGATTTTTGTATGGCCCATCTATGAGCGATATAGCGATACAACATGAGTTGTTTGAATATATTAGAAATATGAGTCAGAAGAATAGGTGAAGGTATGATGAAATGGACTAAAAACTTTGCCTATAATATACAGAGGGACCAATGGGAAAATGTAGAAATGGAAAAGGATTAAATTTTTATTATGTTCTAGCTGTCAACATTCTGACTGATGAACTCAACCAAAGCAAGCACGGCTGAGACGGTCCAATCTCTCTATGCAAAACTTTATTGAGTACATCATATTGGCAAAGATGAGGGCAAAACCAGATCTAACCATTTCCTGCACAAACGCATATAATTAAAGTTCATGTCTTTCCTTTCCCCTATTAGACTAGGTCACATTGTCCAATGGAGACTTCTGATATTGTTGTGAGAAAGTTTTTTGATTCTGGTAAACAGCTCCCAAAACAACCTTGGTTCTCATGGCTGGCATTTTCATATCTGGAGCTTGAGTTCTACCTTTCTCCTGGCCCTCATAATTCATTGCCACGCTAAAAAGTGATAATAGTTGCAATAGTCTTGTGAAGCTTGACACTACCACTGTCGTTGCTTTTGTATCCAGAGAAATTGTCTTAGAGTACTTAGGTACTTAGAATCTTAGCTGGAAATGTGAACAACATGAATGAACTTTTTAATGGTTTTGATGGACATGTAAAAAAAAACAAAAAACAATTTAAATTCAAATACATGCATTAATTCAGAAGATTTTAAAGGTAAAAGTACAACTCAAACTATATACTTTTCTTTTGGGATTAATGAACAAGCAACTAGAAAATAAGTCATGGAACTTTGTTTTCTATAAATGACTCTAGTAAGACTATTATATATTCCATAGTGGAATTGTTGGACATTATCCATAGGACTTTAGTTACATCCTCTTTGATTAAAGAAAAGCAGTATTTTTATCGTTGTGTGGATAACCCTTACATACAATAGCAGTAGACTTATATACCGCTTCATAGGGCTTTCAGCCCTCTCTAAGCGGTTTACAGAGTCA